CATATAGAAAAGACTGGAAGGAAAGTTATGAAAACATTAATAATGACGATTTGAGTTGTAGATATATTCATCAAAACCACACCCACTGCCACTGAGTCATTTCCTACTCATAGCGACCCTGTATAGGGTTTTGGAGGCTGTGAATTTTTATTAGAACAAAAAATCCTATATTTTTCCCATGGGGTGGCTGCTGCAGTTGTAATGCCAGCCTTGTAGTTAACAGTCCAGTGCTTATCCTAATACTACCAGGGTTCTTCGTAGACATAGTAGCAATTTTTATTTTGTTCTTTCTGTGCAACTGAATTATCCCAAATGAATTGAAGAAATATCATGGATCACTGGAATATTATTTTTAAATGTTACTTTAAACATGGTTTCTTGAACATTGAAAATATTTAATTTTAATATCAAAGTGTTATTTTACTGTGACATAATTAATATTCTATTGTGGAGTCCTGGTGTGGCGCTGTAAAATAAGCACTGGACTGCTAGTTGCTGCTTGGAAACCCTATACAGGGTCACTGTGTGTCAGAACCCACTGGATGCCACTTAACAACAGCAACAATAGCATTCGATTGTTTATTTTGGTTCCTAAAATAACTACTCTTAGAAATACATTGAGAAGTTACTAAATTGTTCTACATGTAAACTATGCCAGGCTTCTGTTCAAGGCTCTTTATTTTATGATGTTGTTGTGTGCCCTCTAGTTAATTTCAACTCACAGTGGCTCTGTATGACAGAGAACTACACTGTAAGTTTTCTTAGGCTGTAATCTTTATGAGAAGGAACTCTGGTAGTGTAGTGGGTTATGGAGTTGGGCTGCTAACTAAAAGGTCAGCAGTTTAAATAAGGAGAAAGATAAGGCTTGATTTACAGTCTTGGAAATCTGACATAGGTTGTTATGAGTTGGAAGTGACTTGACGGCACATAACCACCAGCACCTTCAGTTTTTATAAGTGAAAATCACCATGGAGCAGCTGGTGGGTTCAAACTTCCAACCCTGTGTCTGGCCGCCGAGCACATAACCACAGTGTCACCATTGTTCACCTTGTTTTATATGGTTACATAAAGAGAACTTCTGAGACATCATGTGACTTTTTTGAGGTCTTCCCCCAAATGGCTTCGTAATAAAATTAGCAGTTTCAATTTTGCTTTGAACACTTGGGTACTACAATAAAGTACACCTTACCAAAGTTTTCTTCAATTGTACTTCTTTTAGGAGTTAAATAAGGTCACTACTCAGTTGGATCAGGTGACTACAAAGCTGCAGGAGAAGCAAGAACATTGCAGTCAACTGGAAAGTCAGCTTAAAGAACAGAGAGACAAGCATCTCGCGTTAGAACAGAAAACCGAAGAGCTGGAAGGTCAAATTAAGGTTTGTAGAAAACAAATACAATTTAGCCCAGATACTGCTGTAGTAATGAAAGCCAATGACCTGGATGGAGTCAAAGATTTATAAGTAAAAAAATGTTTGTAGTTGTGGTATGAAATTCAATTACTTGTATATTTTTGTATGTTTTTCATTACAACTTTTTATTTCTTTATTAATTGGTAGCTTTTATAAATCAGTTAACATATGTACTATTCCCACTGTATTATGTAACTATTTCAAAGAGAGAGCCAACCAGGAATCTTCTCTTTTATTGCAAGGAACTTACCATGTTGTTTTTGTGAAACACTTTGTTTCTTCATTCTTCCATCTCCTTATCTCACTGCAGCATAACATTTCAGATGTATTATACCTTTTCCTTTCTAAAGTTTACATCTATAACCCCTGAATATTGCTTCTAATTAAGGAATATCATGGCTCCATTGGATAAGCACTGGATTGTGAACCACAAGGTGTGTGGTTCAAGCCCACCAGTCATTCCACAGGAGAAAGATGAGTCTTTCTGCTCATGCAAAGATTTAAAAGCCTCATAAACTACATATACAGGGTTGCCGTGAGATGGAACTGACTTGGCGGCACTTAATAACAGCAACAAAAAATAAATTTAAACCATTGTAACACGGTGAGCTTGAACCGCCGACCTCGCAGTTCAAACGGTTTTGCAGTCTGGTGCATTAACCCACAGCACCACACTAGTACTCCATACTGGATTGCTATGGGTCGGAATTGACTCGACAGTACTTAACAACAACAACAACAACACAACTCTTCATGGAAGGATTGATTACTAAAGATATTAAATACTGATTAGACATATCAGAGAAGGATTTAACTATGAATCCTTTAAAATGGAACTCCTGTCATTCGAAAGTTTATCAACAAATACTTTATTACTTTATTACTCGGTATGAAGAGAGAATATAAATAATAGTGTAATCACCTGCTTTAGTCAAGAAATTCTCAAGCTGCCATTGAAAAACGTGTGTGTGGCGGCGGGGAGGAAGGGGCTTGATGTGTCATTGGAAGTTAATGTGCTGGACTGCAAGACCAGTTTAAACAGAAAGGTTGGCGGTTCAAGCTCACCAACTGCTCTTCGGAAACCCTATACAAGGTCGCTATGGCTCAGAACCGACTCTATGGCATTTAACAACATACATATATATGAACTTTTGCTGTGGCGTTGTAGAGTCAACACTGTTCTGCTAACCACAAGGTCAGCTGTTCAAGCCCACCAGCTGCTCTTCAGAAACCCTATGTTGGTGGCTATGTGCCGTGGAGTCAGTTTCAACTCATAGCAACCCTGTATAGAGTTTCTGAGGCTGTAAATCTTTGCAGGAGCAGAAAACTTCATCTTTCTCCCATGGAACCGCTGGTAGTTTGGAACTGCTGACCTTGAGATTAGCAGTCTATACCACCAGATTTCAGAAACCCTATACAGGGTCATAATGGGTCAGAACCTACTTGATTGCACTTAACAATAACAACATACATATATATATATATATATACACTTGTGCATGTTTGTATGTATATGGAGTCCTTGTGTAACTCTGTGGGTTAATGTGCTGGACTGAGAGGTCGGTTTGAACTTCAAGTTTGGTGGTTCAAACTCATTAGTGCTCCTTGGAAACCCTTTACTGGGTGGCTATGATTTGGAACTGACTCAACAGCACTTACCAACATCATGTGTGTATATATATATATATATATATATATACACATATGTATGTATGCATATGTGTGTATGCATATGTGTGTATATGTATATGAATTAGGTGGCTTCAAAAAATTGGTGCAAAAGTAGAATTAACAGATAATGGAATTTTTCCATATACCTTTTGAAACCCCCTTGTGTGTATATGTATATTGTTTGCCAACCACTGAGAAGGAATGCATGGCAACCTCCTTGTGTATGTATATTGTTGGCCAACTCCATTCTAGTTTTGGGTATGTATAATTACATCAGTGTAGTTAATTATATTTTAAGAGAGCACATGTGTTATTTTGTACTTGAGTGAAAAACTTCACTCGTATTTATGCTTGTTTTATGCTTTATATTTATTTAAATTTTATTCTTTTATTCAGAGTTAATTTTTTTATGAAGATTTAGTGACTGCCTATTATAAAATGGAGAAAAAAAATATAAGTTAACGTACTTATAAATTAAGGGGGAAAATCTTGATCTAAGCCCTCTGAAATATTCCAATTTAAATAGCTCTGTTACTCATGAATAATTTCAGAATGTGCTTTTAATTGTAACATAAATATTTATGCTTGTTTTTATGTTGTCAAGCACCAATTTATGTGTGTGTGTATATATATATAATATATTTATATATATATTATATATATCTAATTATAAATATTACTAACATTAAAATGGCTACTATACTATATTTCTTCCATAGAAACTAGAAGCCGATACTGTTGAAGTTAAAGCAAGCAAGGAGCAAGTTTTGCAGGATCTAGAACAGCAAAGACAGCTGAGGACAGATTTAGAGCTCAGAGCCACAGAATTGAATAAACAGCTTGAAATAGAGAAAGAAATGTAAGCTAACCTATTTTGCTTAAAAATTAAGGGGGGCGATTATAAACTAAGTATTACACTTTCTTAAGATTTTACTTAGTATCACAATATTTAAAATATCTGTTAAATGTTTGTATTGTATTTATTCTGTAAACTACCGATGTTAATGTAAATAAAAAATAAAGCCATCATAATATGGTTAAAGTTAATTTCACTACAAAGAACTGAAAAATTGGTTTCATAAGATTCAGGTCAGTTAGTCTCTTTTCAGCACTAATATGGTACCCAGATCATGGTATCTGTGAATTAGAAATATTTTTTACTTCTTCCTGTACAATCTATAAACCTTTTGTGTCTATTTGTGGTTGGAATCTCCAGTAAAATTTTGAATGCTAATTAGCAGTAGCAGATGGCCTGCAATGGCCCCAGTATCATTGAGAAGACTGTTAAACATTTTACCATTAAGTATGAGATTAGCTATACATTTTTTATAAATTCCTTTTATAATTGATAACATTCTCTAATATGTGGTTTGCTGTATTTAATTATAGTCATGACTGGCTGTTGATTTTTGTGTGTGTGTGTGTGTGAATTAAGTGATAGTTTACATGGTAGAACATTGGCATTACACCATCGTTTCATTGCAGTGATTACAATCTCCTCTGTGCATCATAATTCAACAATATTTGCTTCTTATTTCCTCTTTTGGGGGGGGTGTACACAGAAACACTCAGGAATATATAATAAATTTAAACAACCAAAGGGCACATTCTGTAAGCCTGTCTCCTGGCCACCAGCACACAGTCCCTATCTTTCCATGAGTCCAGAGTCCTCAGCTGCTCCACTCTCTCTTTGTCCTCATCTCTGCCTTCATCTATGATGACGCAGCTTCTCTGGATAGGGTCCCGTATTCCCCTTGTGCTCTTCTCCCTTGATGATCCTAGAGTTCTCTCTTTCTGGATTGTAAGATTAACTACTCCCCCATTTTTGTTACAAAACTTCTACCTTTACAGTTGTGACAGTCACAATTAGTGATATCACTCATAGTGATAACAATTACTCACTGTTGAAATCGTAAGAATCTTCTTATCCCCATCTCTTTTCATCTGATCCGTCTAGACAAGATGAAAACTATTTAGTGGGGATTCTACCTTCCCCTGCACACGCTAAAGTAAACTCCCTCTTGAAAACTTGTAAGCCAGTTACTTAGTAACTTTTTCACACCCTCATTGTAGATAGCCAGTGTCAAAGTTGTCAGTCCTTATCTACCCTGTGTACAGAGGGGATAGCATTGATACTTGATGTGAAGACTCCTTCCCTCTCAGTTGATATTTTGAGCTACTACATCCATAAGTATAGGTCAAGTTTATCAAATTGTAGCAGTTTACACTTGCTCCTTTATCAGAATTTTTTTTTTTTTTATCTTCCTCTAGTCGAGTTCTGATTATCAAGCCATCAAGGCTAGGTTCAAATGGGTACTATCTGCAGTTCTGGATGTTCTTGTGTGTCTCCCCTCACTTCATATCAGCTGGATGCTTCACTCTCAGCTCTAGCTCTCCATGGCTATGTCCTTGTCCATGGGCTCAGGTGTCCCCAGGTCTCACCACACTTTGGACTAACCAGCCCTTCTTCTTCACTCTCTCATCTCCAGGTCAAGGGAAATCTATGGAACATGGTTGAACTCAGCCCATTTCTTCATTGCTGCCTTTTCCCCTCTTCTACTAACCAGTAGACCAACGTGATCGCCAGCAAGCTTACATGCCTGCTCATGTGTTCCCTTTGAGTATCAGTCTTGGAGGGGTTTGTCCTAAAGGGGCTTGATTGCTTGCTTTGATGACTCCTTAGTGAACAACTTGCTTGTTCTTGAAATAGTGGCTGTTGGTTTTTAATAACTTCTTTTTCTACATCGATTAAAAATATCATAATGATTTTCATCTTTATTCTGTTAATGTTGTTATTGTTAAGTACCGTGGATTCGGTTCCGACTCATAGTGACCCTGCACAGGGTTTCCGAAGCTGTAAATCTTTATAGGAGCAGAAAGCCTCATCTTTCTCCCATGGAACGGCTGGTAGTTTCGAACTGCTAACCTTGAGGTTAGCAGCCCGATTCGTATGATTAATTAAATTGAGATTTAATCAAATAGTAAGCCAATCTTGCTTTCCTAGGATAAGTTCTACTTGGTTCTGGTTGATTATTCTTTTCATATATTGCTGGGTTTGATTTTATCATACTTATGGTATTTTCATGCATTTAAAAGTACTATTGGTTTATAATTTTGTAAATTACTAACGTCAGGTTTTGATATCAGGATTATGCTTCATTTAGAAAGGAATTGAGATCTATTCCTTCATCCTGTGCTTTCTAAAGGATATGAATGAGAGTAGTAGTATTTATTTCTTAAATATTTGATGTAGTTCACCAGTGAACTAGCTGGGCTTCAAGTTCTCTCTATGGATTATTTCTTAATTTTGAATTCAATTTATTGATTAGATATAAGTTGTCTTAGGCTAGGTTTTCTAGAGAAGCAAAGCAGTGAAGCATGTGTATAGCATCATAGCTAACTATGCCTATATTAGGTTTCACCATCATGAGAATAACCACATCTCAACTGCTAATCTGCTGGAAATTCTGGCCTCATCAAGTTGGCACAGAACCCTATTACATAGTCTACTCTGAATTTTTATATCTTTCTTGACTCAGCAATTTGTATTTTTCAAAAACTTTATTTCTTTCATCTGAACTTCACATTTCGTGGCATAATTTTGTTCATAATATGTTTGAAGCTGTTAGGATCTGTAGTGATGTGTTCCCTCTTTTATTCATAGTAGTGGAATTTATTTTTTTATTTTATTTTTTTCCCTGATCCATCTAGTTAAAGATTTATTAATTTCATCGATCTTAAAAAAACAACACAATATAAAAATCCCAACTTTAACTCTCTATAAAAATATAGAGAGACCAAAAATATATATTATCTATAGAAAAATATGGAGTCCTGGCGTGGTGCTGTGGGCTAATATGTCAGACTGCAAAGTTATTTGAACTGGGAGGTCGGTGGTTCAAGCTCACCAGCTGCTGCTTGGAAATCCTAAACTGTGGGTCGGAATTGACTCAATAGCACTTAACAACAACAACAACAACAACAGAAAAAAATACATATATTTTCTCTTTTATTTATTTTTCCTCCATATAATTTTCTTCCTTAGGCCTGCTTTGGATTTAGTTTTCTCTTCTTTTCCAAACTTATTAATGTGAAAGATTTCCTATGGCTTGTCCTACTTTGTTTACAATTTATACGTGATGTCTGTCTTTTATTTTGTTTTATGAATTCATCCATTTACATTTTCCCTTTGCATTGCAACAATGCTAGATGTTGCATTTTTGGTACATGGCTATTGAAGTGCTTCATTCTAGTAAAATCAGTGTATAATAGTGTTTCAACAGATGGAACAAAGTATTATTGAGTAGTTTTTTCTAATTTATACAAGAAATATTTATAATAACCTGAGGATTAAAGGTAGATTGGTATAGAAGATATTAAAATCTTTAAGATTAGGTGAAATGGACAATTTTTTTGACAAACACAAATCACTAACTTTTAGTTAAAAATATAGAAATTCAAGATAGCCTTATATCTATTCAACAAATTGAACTCAAAATGAAGAAACAATACAGAGAGAGGACTCCATGCACATAGAGTTCACTGGTGAAGTATTGTATATTATATTTAAGAAATAAGTAAGACTATATGAAATTTTAAATGTCTCTAAGAGGAAATAGGACATTTGCCTTGCATTCAATATAGCCATATAAATGCTGAGCTGGTTCATCTTTCCATCACTCCTAAGTTTGAATCATTCTCTTGACATTTCTCACCTTGTTCTTGATGTTGATACTTGGTTTGAGTCCTACTAGGAGATCCTCAATAGATACATAACTCACCAGAATTTTTACTGATGAAAATCAGTTCCACCCCACTCACGTGGATGCGTTGTGAATGATCACATTCAATTTGATTTCGCCTTTAAATGCCAAATAGGTCACTCAGAGTGATGACGAATTTGGCCTGTGTCAAGAGGATGAGGGCCGTTGGCTTTTTCAGTAGTAAATCAGAGGTTGAAAGCCTAGGAAAAGTGCTCTTCAAGGAGATGAAATAAAATTCGTCAGAGTTCATGGTGATTAAGTTGTTTTATACTTCCATGGTTTCATCCTTGTTTTACGATAGGATGATGTAAATTTCCTTGCTCTTACATCTAGTAAATTGGAAGCCCTGTATGGTGCTGTAAAGATAAGCACTGGACCACAAGGTTGGTTTGAACTTCAGTGCTAGCAGTTTAAATCCAACAGTCACTCCTCAGAAACCCTATATATACATGGTTGCTATGAGTTGGAACTGATAGGACAGCACTTAACAACAGCGGCAACTTTGAATTGGTGGATATAGAGCTGCATTCGTTGCCTCATATGCATTCCTTCTTACTGTTAGCCTTATAGTTTCTGGTGCCTCCTATTGGAGGAGCACATCTAATCCTTTATGCCATTTACTCATGGTTTGTTGTTACTTCTGGATCCCAGAAACCATAGAGATCATCTCTGAGTTAGTCCTCGTTCTCTTCCCCAAGGCCCCTGTAGGCTCAATGAATGGTTCTTTCCACTCTTTTGTTCAGAAATTATTCAGAGACTCCTGCTTTATATTATGACAGAAAGTTTTTAGATCTTTTCTTCCTGTATACATCATATAAACATTTCTTCTCTGGAATCTTCTTACATTTCTAGAGCATTATTAAGAAAGGAAGCCTGGATCCCATCTGCTCCTGTATAATATGAACGTGTCTGGGATTTGTTAAAGCCCTCAGCTCATAGTTCAGTTCTTTCTCACAGGCCACCAACATCTGTGAACCTAACTATGTCCCTCCAACACCCATCACTCTAATGCTGTATCTTCATGACCAATGGCTTGCCTTCTTTAGTTTTTGATACTTTCTTTGATGCATGCGTTATTCCAAAGTAAGTTGTTTACTTTTCAATTATGATGCTGTGTCTAAAACTTCATGGAAAAATTGAATTCACAAATAATGGACTGTTACTAGAAGAGCCCCTTCATATTTGTGACTATTCTTCTATATCATTGTTAGTCATTTCGAATTTAACTCCATTGTAGTCAGAGAACATAACCTGTAAAATCATGCTTTCGAAATTTAGTCTTATTACCTTGGTTAATACTGAGACAGAAAAACCTACAAGGCTAACATCTTTTCTGCTTGTATACTTCATGCAAGCATTTTTCCTTTATGCATGTTTTTTTTGAAAGTGTGGTTTTCTTTTCTGTGCTGTATGTAGGTAGAGTGTTGTATATTATATTAATATCCATTAGAGCATGATGATTGCTGTTCTAATCTTGTATGTCCTTGCTAATTTTTCCTGAGATGGTTCTATCAATTTCTGAGAAAGAGGTGTTAACATTTTCAACTATGATTGTTTGTTCATTTGTCATTTTTTAAAAAAAAGTTTTATAGTTAATATGCCTTTATTCCTACTTTTTTAAAATTCATATAAGCTTATAGTTTCATCATATTTATGGAAAAGTTAGAAAACTAAGTAAACATGAAGTCTAGTTGATTTTAGGGTTATTGGACAGTAATATTAGTTATATTAAATGGTAAAATATTAGCATGATGACTTGTTTTTAGACCTTCAAAAATCAGTGAAGTATAAAACACTCTAATGTACGATGGAAATAGCAGAAATTCTGTAAGTATTACTACTTTGCATTTGGTTTGGTTTTGACTTTAGACAGTGGTTAACCTTTTATGTTTTTCTCCCTGCATATTATGCATAATTTAATTTCCTTTATGAAAATGATAAAATTTTATAGATTTGTATTCCTGAAGTTCAGTCTTCATTCCCTAGTTTTTATAATTTACATACTCAGGTATATGTTAAAGGACATAATAGCAAATTTCTTATGTTAGTCCACTATATTTTAATATTAAAATCTTTTTTCTTTCCTCTATTTTCGAAATACAATGTCATTCATATTTTGCTTTATTTTTTCTGTAAATTTATGTGTTTTGAAGTTTATGACTTGTCAAACAGGTGTTTTTCTCTTTGCAAGGATGGAGGCAAAGCCCTCTCTGTGCTAACACTAAGAATTGGGTCTTTAGGGTAGATGGAAAGAACTTTTCTGGCTGTTGTAGGCTCTAGGGTCTGCTATGGTGAATCTGTTCTAGTGGACTAGCCCAGATTAAATTCAAATGCTTAGGTGGTCTTGACTGTGCTAGTTATGTATTTGACTTCAGGAAACACATCTGTCTGTTAAATTACCAAATCAGATGATCTAAGGCATTTTTCAGTTTTATGAATTTGCATTATTATTTTGACTTCTGAAATATAAAAGAACATTTCAAAAATCAGTAATGATACATTATTAATATTAATGGAATATTAGGGATAATTATGCATTTAAAAAAATGATTTCTTATATATCTAGAGTATCCAGTACAAAATTGGATCTACAGAAAAAATCTGAAGCCCTTGAAAATATTAAGCAAAAACTTACCAAACAAGAGGAAGAAAAATTAATCCTTAAACAAGAAATGGAACATTTAAATCAAGATACCAAAGTGCAGCACCAGGAACTTAGTAACAGAATTCAAGCAGCAACAGCAGAATCTCAAAAGATGAAGATGGAGAAAGAAGCTCTAACAACAGAACTTTCTGCAACAAAAGAAGAATTATCAAAGGTTTCTGAGTCTTTGAAAACCTCCAAAAGTGAACTTGAAAAGGAAACTCACAAAGGAAAAGCTGCTGCATTAGAATTGGTTAGTTGTTTGCATTTACTTTTCTCAGGAAGAAGTGGTTATATTATTTTAAAGTCACTGATTTTTCTGTCTAATTCACTGTTGACTTTTTTAATTTTAAACTTTTTATTGTGAATTGAGTGAAGATGTCATAGTTGACTGGTAATCCTTCATTTAAATAAAGTAAAAATAGTTTTTATGAGTAATTAGAATTGCTCAAGTTAAGAAAAGGGCAGCAAAGATACTGGGATGTTTTCACTTGAATCTGACGGTCTTTCTCTATTGCTTGTATTATGTTTACATTTCGGAGAGATTACAATAGGTTTACCCACAGAGAATACCATTACTATTTGAAATATTCACATTTTAGTATTCTAAAATTATGGATAATAGTATATCTTAGAGATACCATAAATATATTTAAACTCTAGAGATAAAAAACTACAATCTTAGGAAATGAAGTAGGAATGTACTTTCTAAAATATTTTAAATAGCATAGAGTAGCAACAAAATTTAAATTCTCCTCTCAGTATAAAGTTCAGTGATAATAACCTAATCAAATTTAAAGTAAATATGTGTTAAAGCCTTTATGTGCCTTTCTTTTTGGAGAAAGCAACTCCTGTCGGTACATCTTCCCTCTTGAGTTAGATGCAATTTTTAAAGCATATTATTTTACTATTGTCTTTCTATAATCTTTTTTCCATTTTCTTGAAATTCTTTGTTCTACTTTGAAAATAACATGACAGTTTAATTAATTGTAATTAATTTTATGACATAAAAATGTGGTTTCCAAAGTATTCTAGAATACTTTAATTAGAACCACATTTTAGACACCTAAAATTAAAATACTTTAATTGGAAACCACATTTTAGATGCCTAAAATGTTTAATGATGCTTTGTCTATGAGTATGCATTGCTTTTGTGTATTCTGTACACCATTAACTTTATGTTCCAGTCTCTAAGAATGCATATCAATACATTAGAGACTAATAGAAATTGCATTTTTCTTTTTGTGTCCACGGGTTGGTTACTAATGGAAACTCTAGTTTTGTGCTGTCCCTCTCTCTATACTCTATATTTATAGCATTTTTAAATTGAAGTATAGTGCTGTGGGATAAGTACTAGACTGCTAACTACAAGGTCAGTAGCTTAAACGCTGCAGCTGCTTCTTGGAAACCCTTTATAGAGTTGCTATGATTCAGAATTGACTTGATAGCACTTGACAACAACAACAACAACAACAACAACAATCTATGTTAGCTCATCACTGATTCTAGTTTATTTCCTTATAAGAATATCGCTAAACATAATAAAATTCTTAAACTTACTATATTTTATATGTAATAAAATTTCCATATATTTAAGGAAAAAACTTGCAAAGCTTTGAAACATCAACTTCAGATACAGACAGAAAACATTCTTAAAGAAGAGAATGAATTGAAAAAGTCACTGGAAAAAGAGAAAGAGGTACAGTTTTCTTTTCCTGCAACGTAAAATCTGTAAAGCATGTTAAGACTTTTATAGTTTAATATCATTTTTACATTGTATTTAGGTCAGATAAAAGGAAATTTTTCTGAAATGTAATGGGTCATATATACATAGTTCGAAATTGTGTTTTACCTACTATTAAAAAAATTCAAGCTAGTTTATTACAAAAGAACCCAAATAATGGAATATAATTAATAAGGGTAGAAAATTGAGTCAACGAACTCTTGTATTATAATTAGGTAATCTATCTCAAGCAACATTATGTGGTTGAAAAATAATCTTGATAGACTTTCCATTAAAATGACTTTTCTAGAACTCTTTATCTCATGGATATTAATGGCATATTTAATAATCATTCTATAATAAGCAAGAGACATTGCTATAGTGAATGCCTTTATTGATCTCTAGCACAACAAACCAACAAGGAAACAAGTAACTAAATAAATGGATGTAACATACAGTTGTTATTGTCTGTGTGTTATGTCATTGGGAAACTAGGGTATAGACGTGTAGCTTTCTAGAAATCTGGTGTGATAAAGCAACACAACCTAGTCCTGGCAAGTATTTGAAGTAATGATTTTCTGGTTGTTGATTGAAAGAAGTAGCCTGTGCTGTAGATGCCACCGTGTATGCAAGTAGAGAAATGATGCAGAACCCAAGCACTGAGTCCAGATGGCCCAGATATGCATCCTGCCTCAGCTGTCTGCTAGCCAGTCTCTCTTGTTTTGTCTTGAGCAGATTACTTAAGCTCTCTGTGGTTCACTTTCCTCACCAATAAAATGGGGTAAATAATAGAATCTGTAAATTTTTTTTGAGAAATAAATGAGTTGATATGTTTCATTGAGTTAGTCACGCTATAATAAAGACACAAATATTAAATGGTTTTTTGTTTCGGTTTTTTTAACCATCACTACTGTTGGGAATTCTAAGGCGCTCTGGTAGCTTAGTAGTTATGAGTCCGGCTGCTAACCTCAAGGTCCTCAGTTCGAAACTACCAGCTGTTCTGCAGGAGAACGATGAGGCTTTCTGCTCCCGTAAAGATTCACAGCCTCGGAAAGCCTGTGCAGGTTCGCTATGAGTTGGAATCGACTCCACAGTACTTAACAACAACAACACTGTTGGGAATTCTGGGTGGTGCTATAGGATAAGCATTGACCTGCTAACCACAAGGTCGGTGGTTCAAACCCACCAGCTAGCTGCTCCTTGGAAACCCTATACAGGGTTGCTATGAATTAGAACTGACTCAGTGGCACTTAAAAACAACATTGTTATACTGCCTTTCTCTAACATTTAACAAAACTATCTCCCTAGACATTGGGAATAAGCTGAGGCCTCCAGATACAATACTGAAATTTTCTCAAAAGTAACTGAGTACGGTCAAATGCTCAAACTACATTTAAAATGAAAGCAACATAAAATGAAAACATGACTTTGGCTGGAAGAGCAGGAAATATAGACCGCCTTGTACACAGAGGAGCCTTATTGTGACTTCTGTACAATAATCTAATTTTGAACAAAAATATATTCTGGTTTTGCAAATTAAAGTAGTAACAAATGTACCCCAAATTTCCAAATGAGGTAACTAATTGTGCCGTGTAGTTTAGTGTCATCAGATAGAGGCTATCTAGATTTGCCAGAAGTTATTGTTTTATTATAGTTAGTATGGAACTATTCTTTCTGATTACCTGTGGCCAATAGGTTCAGCAGCTTCTTGTAAAATAATAGACATTCCAGTACTTTATCGATTGATGCTGATGTTTCTGTTTCCCCTGAATCAAAGGTGTATTCATCTAGTTTTTAAATGAGCTCTATTCAGATGCACATTTATAACTGCAGAAGAAGCTAGAAAGGTTGTTGTTGTTGTTGTTAAGTGCCATCGAGTCAGGTCCGACCCATAGCGACCCTGTACAGGGTTTCCGAGGGTGTAAATCTTTACGGGAGTAGAAAGCCTCATCTTTCTCCCGCGGAGCGACTGGTAGTTTCGAACCGCTGACCTTAAGGTTCGCAGCCCGATTCGTAACCACTATGCTACCAGAGTAGTATGAAGCAAATAATTGTATTGAAGATTCACTCTGCATATTATCTAAAAGGAAATAATGTTGATTGGGAAAGTTCCATGAGGGATCTCTTTCTTTTTAACCTCTCTCACTTACTACTGGTTTACCTGTGGTCAACAGACTGTCCTTTCAGCATGCCTGACATGTGGTAGGTAGTCAATAAATATTTGTCAAATGAACAGATGAAAGCCAAACATCTTTTATTTTCTTTTAGACATCTTGTCAGTTGCAGTTGGAGCTTAATTCAATGCAAGAGCAAGTTGTACAGGCCCAAAATTCTTTAAAACAAAAGGAAAAAGAAGAGCAACAACTTCATGGGAACATAAATGAGTTAAAACAATTGACTGAACAGAAGAAAAAGCAAATTGAAGCACTTCAAGGAGAAGTGAAAAGTGCCGTTTCACAAAAGGTAGTGAAATGATATTTGTTTACTGTTTATGAGAAGAACAACTGTGCAATTAAGATAGTAGGGTGACTAATACAAATGAGTTGCAACATAGAAAAGTTAATATATGGTCAAGATATTTCAAAGTATGAAACCACTTGATTATATGATTATACGTCTAAGCCTAGATTTCCATTCAATGTAACCATATTGTCAGATTATTCTTATATAATGTAAATTTCTAGCACTAATCATTTGATATACATGAAACCACCTTTTTGTAACACTTAAAATCAGGGAATAATTTATATAACACTTCTAGTGTATTATAAAATTTTAAACATATTTTGAGTACAGATTATCTTTATTAAGAGAAAGATGATCAAGAACAAAAATTACAAAATGGTATATATTTTAAAAATCAATATTTCCAAGGTCAGATAGTTAAAATCATTTGATATCTCTTAAGTTACAGCGTAATGGTTTCGATTTCTTCCCTACTCTAATTTATTATGAAGAGTCCAATTATCCATTGATAAAAATGGATTGTACTTAATATAAAATAGTTGAAGAAAGTGAGTTGTTTTCCACTGTTATTATGTATACATATTAATTAATTTGTAACATACATTAGATTGATGGTCACAATGAAGTATTTTTTTAATTGAACAACATTTAGTCATAGAATTGTTATAAGAATTGAGCTAGTGTATTTAAGTTACTTAATAATGTGCACAACACAATTTAGAAATAAAACAAATTGCTGAATATTATGAGGAAGCATAGCAAAAGTATGATCTAGGAAGTGTTAACATGGTGGATCGTGCAGTGGCAGTCCATGGCCAGGAAATAGGAAAACCAAAGTTAATGTTTAAGTGGGTATTGATGTGTATCTACACACATACATAAAACACACAGGTGTACACATACTAGGGGGCTTCAATAAGTGAAAAAATTTCATTATTTCAATTCCATTTTTTCCATGAATTTTTTGAAGCCCTCTTGAATATAACCACATCTAAAAATAGATGTCTGTCTAAGATCGTTTGAGAGCCACTGATCAAAGATCTAGCAAGCAGGCTATACATCAACAGCTCTTGTACCAACTTTATTGAAAATGTAATGTGGGAACACAGAAATAGATATTAAGTCCTCCTTTGAAGCTGCTTATAAGTTAATGAAGAAGCAGATATATAAAGATTAAGGAAACTGTAATATAAGGGAAAATGACACAAGAACCTAAAAAGCAGTGAGAACTGATGAAAATTTTGACTGGAGCAATTACTTTCTAGAGGAGGGAGATAGCATTGTCACGGAGCCTTTGAAGATGATTATAACTTTGAAAAGTTAATAAAAAGGGGGAAATTAGACACTTCATGGGGAGAAACAATATTAGCAAAGTTTGAAAGACTTTAAAAATGTCTTTATAAATAAACATTAGTTATTGGAGTGCATAAGGAGCTCTCGTAGCATAGTGGTTACGAGTTGGGGTGCTAACCTCACGGTCAGCAGTTTGAAACTACCAGCAGTTCCACAGGAGAAAGATGAGGCTTTCTGCTCCTGTAAAGATTGACAGCCTCGGAAACCCTGTACAAGGGTCACTATGGGTCAGAACCGACTCAACGGCACATAACAACAACACTTGCAGTGCATACAGTAAGTGGAGACATGTAAGGAGAGAAGGCTAAAGTATGGGGTGAAGTCAGATCACAGTGGATGTTGTATATTTATTTCTGCTTAAGATTTTTAAGCATTAGAAAGCTCAAGGTTTTTGTGTGTTTGTTTTTGTTGTTTTTTAAAGCGAAAAATGTGATCAGATGTGTTTCAGAGCAAAATGTAATCAGCTTGTGAAGGATAAATTGTAGATGACTGCCCTTCCTGTATTCTCTGTTGGAACTTTAGGTTGACTTCTATTAAAACAGTTATCAAACTGTTGCATAGATCTGTTTCCTTATTGAACTCCCTTCCTTACTAATCGATTTAAGGAGCCCTGGCTAAGCGTTTGTCCACTAACCAGGAAAGACTAACAGTTCAAAGCTACCATCCATCCACAGGAAAAAGATGTGGCAGTCAGCTTAGAAACCCTAATTCTGTTCTATTTTATTCCTGTAAGGTCGCTAACAGAGTTCAGCTCCTTGAAATCAGGGAACTGTGTCTTTTCTAGAAAGACATTATCTCTCTCTCTTTCTCTTTAAGTGAATAAATGAATTAATATAAATCAATATGTTGATCAGAGAGAAGATATTTGATATCAAACAGGAGCCAAAGGGGTAAATAATGGTCACTGAGAACTTAGTGAAGGCCCAGATGGGACTTACAATGGATATTAAAGGAAAAGAAAATGAGGTTTATGAAAACTGTTAAAGAATTTAAAGCCTGTTTTAGAAAAGAAAATACTTAAATTTAACTGTCGTATCCAACATGAAAAATTTGTCTAGGAATTCAACATGAAGGATCAAAATTGGTAAACGAGCTCTATAAAAGGTAGTGGACATGGGGTGCTATCAAATAAATGTGTAGGGAGATCAGTGCCACCCTGCCATAGGCCATAACCCCAACTCCTTCAGTCCTCGCCTAGAGCCACTGACCCCATCGTGCCTTCTCATTTCCACGGCCACAGCCTCAGTTCCGACGTTCATTTTCTTTTTTCTGGGGCCTTTTTGTAGCCTCTTAATAAGTCTCAGAACCTTGTCTTTACATTTTCAATGTATTGACCCGTCACTCATTCTTTCATTCAAGAAATATTAATAGGTATCTGTTTTGTGCCAACACATAATTCTAGATCCTGTGATGTAATGATCAACAAAACAGCAAAGGACTTGTCCTAAGGGAGCTTACACTATAGTGGGGAAAGAAACCAAACAGGGTAATGTGAAAAGTAGTTATAGGAGAGAGTCCTACTAAAGAAGCCTGTCTTTGGTAAAAGACATGAATTGCAAAGGTAAGCCTCGCAGAAGGGAAGAAACAACTAGTGCAAAGACTTTGAGGATAAAACAAACTTGACACTTTCTAAAGAGACCCATATGAATTGAGTGTAGTGGGAGAGAGGAAGAGTGAGTAATATTAGATGAACTCAGAAACTAAACAGGAGTCAGACCATATGCGTGCAACCAAGTAAATGATGAAATAACAGAAAATGAACAATTAAAATTGATAAGAAGATTTTGAACTGAGAATAATCACATCTGCTTAAAAGGCTATAAAGGAGGGAGTAGGAAAGTCACTGAGAAACTATTGCACTAATCCAGACAGCACATGATGATAACATGAATGTAAGTGTTAGCAGTGAATGATTAAGTGATAAATTTTAGGATTTAGTCATAAGGACTTGGTAGATTAGATGGTTAGAATGGAAAGAGGAATCAAGACTAACTCTAGGTTTGGGCTTGTGCTAGTGAGTTACTAATCCTGTTTACTGGTGAAGATTATTTTAATTTTTTGTGTGAAAGTGTGCTGTCAGGAACCAAGCATATTTGAGGTAGGAGTCTGCAAGCCATCCAAGTGGCAGTATCAGGAAAGTACTGGATCTAATGAACACAGAATTCAGGCAAGAGAGATTGCAGCTAGAGATATAATTCAAGAGTCAGTTGATATTTAAAACCATGGGTCTAAATGAGAACTTATCGGAAGAGAAATATATGGGAATACAAGAGGGCCAGCAATTGAACCCTTGGGTATTATGATAATATAGAGATCAACTGGCAGAAAATGAGTTAGTAAAAGATTTTGAGAAAGAATGGCAAGTGAGGTATGAGGAAAACCTAAAATAGAAAGTGCCTTCAAAACCAGGTTGGAGAAAATGTTTCAAAAAGAAGACATAAATCAGCCATATTAAGATCTGATAAGATGTCAATAATTTTGCATGTGGGTTTTGGAACATGACGGTCACTGGTGACATTAATAGCAGTTTCACTGAAGTAGCGTATTTATTTTAAAAGCCAGCTACTTGCTTATTTATATAGTTTTGTTGTTATTAAGTCTGTTGAGTCGGTTCTGACTCAGAGCGATCATGATGAGTTTCTGATGATGGAGTGTTTGAATCACCACCTTGCTGTTCAAATCGACCTTGTGGTCTGTACTTATCCTATAGTGTTCCACCAGGACTCCTTTAATAGTATGCATACCCGTGTTTTAATTATGCCATACTTTTAACATGTTTCCTGATTCTTAAAGACTGATGGTAACTCTAGAGTTTAAATTGTACTTTTCTTTTTTCTATTTTGATATTATTAAAGGTGATTTGTAGAAATATTCTAGTTTGTTCGTGAATTTCAAAGAGCAGAGATCATATGCTTCAGCACAATGATGGCTTTTAAAAATATCTTTCACGTAGAAGTTTCCCTTAGATCTACCTTAAGTTATTATCATCTTTTAAGACATCTAACACTGCATACTCCATTGTTGTTGTTGTTGTGAAGTGTCGTCGAGTTGGTTCCAACTCATAGCAAACCTGTATATCGTTTCCGAGGAGCGGCTGGTGAGCTTGAACCACCTATCTTGCAGTTCAAACTGACATTGCAGTCCAGCGTATTAACCCACGGCGCCACACCAGGACTTCATTAAACATAATTATTACTCTCAGTATCTTAAGACCTTAATACTTTAGGGCTTCCCAAGGAATTGCTTTTTTTCCTACTGAATTATGTTGACATTCGTGGTATTTTCAATTAAGGCTTATTTGACTTTGTAACTTTGACTTTATAACTGTATGATAAATAAAAAGCAAATCCATTGACAGTGAGTCAATTTCAACACATACCAATCCTATAGCAATGAGTAGAATTGCTCCATAGGGTTTCCAATGCTGTAAATCTTGCTGGAAGCAGACTGCCACACGCTGCCACCCTCACCTCCAGTGGAGAAGCTAGGTTCAATTGCAGTAGGTTCAATCTGCAGACTTTTTAGGTTAGCAGCTGACTGCTTAACCACTGTGCCACCTGTGTTCCCTATATGGTAAGTAAGTTATTCTATTGCTATAGATTAAGGTTAGGACATAAATACAGTTTAATTTGTTCTCCAAGCATCATGTTAGTTGTATGGGATTCTTTTTATGTTTATAATTGGTTTGCGATGTGCATAATGATTTTTGTATGTTTCAGACAGAGCTTGAGAATAAACTGCGACAACAGTTAACTCAGGCAGCGCAGGAACTCACAGCAGAGAAAGAGAAAACATCAGTGTTACAAAACACCTATGAGAAAAGTCAGGGAAATCTGAAACAGCTTCAATCTGATTTCTATGGGAAAGAATCTGAGCTGCTAGCTACAAGAGAAGATCTTAAGGTATAGTAAACATATTACATCATAAAATTCTCAACAAGTTGTTTGTAGACATTCACTAAATGATTGATTGGAATCCAAACAGGCAAGAGTATTTGTGGAATACTAGGGGCTGTTTTCTATTAAGTTAGCATTTTGGAATATCAGGCCTTTCTTATTAAATTGTTTTTTCTTACAATGAAAAATATATGTAAATATTTAAAACAAATTGAATCTATAACAGAAAAATAATTAGAAAATAAATTTATTACTAATTATACTCTAAAAGGTTGGTCTATATTAGCCTTTCTAAAAACTGCCCATTTTTAAAGTTATGTGAAAATAACTTTGAAAATGGGAAGTTGTTAGAAAATCTTAAGATTTAGATATATAAGCCCCTTGTGAAAGTGCAAGCAGTTTTACTGTTGTTGTTGTTTTTTTCTCCTTCTCAAGATTATTGAAACTTGTAATAATTACATTTAGGAGATTATAGTTAAAAATAAACTTAAATTTAAATATCCAACCACAGAGGGAAACTTTGTCCTTGACATTGCTATTTGCTAAGATAGGCATCACATTTATTAAACGTGAAGATGCACACTATATATCATATGGTATATCAGTCCTATATGGGAAATGTGTAGTCTTTCACAGATGATTCAGCCAACATTTTTGTTTTGTTGTGCTTTCTTTTATCATGGTGTGTGTGTCAAAGTGAAATATCATGTTTTCTGTTTTCCCTGTGTTTGTTGTTTTATTCAATTTATAGTAGATTTTTACAAAAATCTGTTGTAAATTACAGAATATTAAAATATACTATCAGTATATGTGTAGACTTCAAAAAGTTCATGAAACAGTTGAGAAAGATAATGGATTTTTTATGTGGGGGAGAGGTAGATGTAAGGAGGAGTAGTTAGGGTTACAACTGTGGCTATGTCTACGCTAGGCCTAGTGTTTTGATTAGGGCTAGAGTTGGGAGTAGGGGTTGGGCTAGGGTTAGGAGTAAGGATTTGTCTAGTTTAAGGATTATAGTTAGGTTTATTTTTATTTATTTTTTGAAATTTAGTTTCCATTTCATTTGAAAGTTCTGTGACTATACTCTTCTCTCTTTTTACTTTGTGGTTTCTTTGTTGTTCTTGCAAGCTGATATCTCTGCTTCCCTATTTTCAGTCTTGTAGCTTTTTATTAACTTTGTTAGCTGTTGCTCATAGTAAACCTGTGTACTATAGAACAAAACACTGCCCAGTCCTCTGCCATCATCTCAATTGTTATACCTGAGCCCATTGTTACTGCTACTGCGTCAGTCTCATTGAGTTCTTCCTCTTTCTTGTTGACCCTCTACTTTACCAAGCATAATGTCCTTCTCCTAGAACTAGTCAACCCTTCGTGACAATATGTCCAAAGTACAAGAGACAACATCTCACTGTCATCACTTCTAGCGAACAATCCTGCTGATCTTCTTCCAAAACAGATTTGTTTATTCTCTGGCATTCCACGGTACTTTCAGTATTCTTTGTCAATACCATAATCCAAATACGTCAATTCTTCTCTGATCTTACTTATTAATTGTCCAACTTTAACATGCATATGAGGCAATTGGAGCTACTCTGGCTTGGGACAAGCACACCTTAATTCTCAAGCTGATGCCTTTGCTCTTTACTGCTTTTCAGAGGTCCCTTTTAGCAGATTTGCCTAATGCAATATGTTGTCTGATTTCTTGACTGATGCTTCGATGGACTTTGATTGTGGATCCAAGTAAACTGAAATCTTGGACAACTTGAGTCCTTTTCCTTTTTTCCATTTATTAGTCCCATGGTTAAGATTTTCATTTCCTTTACATTGAGATGCAGTCTGTACTGAAACTTGTAGTCTTTGATCTTCATCGCTAAAGGTCTTTTCATTTACCACTAGCAAGTGGGATAACAATCTGCATATCACAGGTTGTTAGTGATTTTTCTTCCAATCTTAATGTCATGTTCTTCGTATAGTCTAGTTTCTCTGATTATTTTTTCAGCATATAGATTAGATAAGTATGGTGTAAAGATACAACCCAGGCATATATCTTTCCTGATTTTAAACTATTCAGTATCCCCTTGTTCTCTTTAAACGACTGCCTCTTGGTCTCTGTACAGGTTCCTCTTGAGCAATTAAGTGTGCTGGAATTCCCATTCTTTGCAGTGTTATCCATAGTTATGATCTACACAGTCGAATGCCTTTGCATAATCAATAAAACACAAGTAAACATATTACTGGTATTCTGTGCTTTCAGCCAAGCTCCATCTGACATCAGTAATGATAGCCTTTGTTCTAGGTCTTCTGACGGCTCCCTGTTGATGGACTCCTGCAGCCATATTTGGATTATCTTATATAAAATTTTACTGGTGTGTGATATTAATGATATCGTTCAATGATTTATGCATCTGTTGGTTCATCTTTCTGTGGTATGGCACAAATATGGATCTCTACTAATCTACTTGGACTTCTGGTGTAGTGCTGTGGATCAGCACTGGACTGTGAACCACAAGGCCAGCAATTCAAATCCACCAGCTGCTCCTCCGAAACCCTATAAGGGTCACTATGAGTTGGAACTGACTCGATGGCATTTAACAACAACACAGTAACAACACTAATCTATGGGTCAAGTAGCTGTCTTCTACATTTCTTAACACAAACAAGTGAGCACTCCAAGTTCTGCATCACTTTGTTGAAATATTTCCGTTGGTATTCCATCAATTCATGGAGCCTTGTTTTTCCCTGATGCCTTCACTGCAGCTTGAACTTACTTCTTCCTTTAGTACCATCATTTCTTGATAATATGGTACCTCTTGAAATGGTTGAACATCGACCAGTTCCTTTTGGTACAGTGACTCTGTCTATTCCTTTTATCTTCTTTTGAGGTCTTTTGCATCATTCCGAAACTATGGCCCATAGAGTCTTTTAAATATTGCAACTCGAGACTTGAAATTTTTCTCCAGTTTTTTCACCATGAAAAATGCTGAGTGTGTTCCTATATCCGAGTATTTAGTCACTGAAAACCTTTTGTATAGCAGAGAAACACTAAGAAATAGTGCTGGAAAATGAACCCTTGGGTTTGGGAGGCACTCAAAATGCTACTGGGAAAGAGATGCCTCCTGAAAGTAGAGTTGACCGTGATAATGTGAATGGAGTAAAGCCTGTGGGAATAGAGCCCACGAGACCTTCATTTGCTGATGGGGCACAACTCAAAATGAAGAAAAATAGCTGTAAACATCCATTCATAATTGGAACATGGAAAGTATGAAGTATGAATCTAGGAAAATTGGAAATTGTCAATTGGAAATTCAGATTTACAGGAGGGACCAGTCACTGGAGAAGGATATCATATTTGGTTAAATGGAGGCTCAGAGAAAAAGTAGAAGACCCCCAGATGAATTGACAAAATGACGACAGCATCAGTGGGCTTAAGCATGGCAACAATTGTGAGGCTGGTCCAGGACCGCGCAGTGTTTTGTTGTGCATAGGATCGCTATGAGATGGTACCAATTCGCTGGTACATAACTATAACAACAAACGTTGTTGGGAAAGGGTATTTGCTATGAAAGAGTCGTTGGTCTTCCAAAATTCTACCATGGATTCACCATCTTTATTTTCATCACCAAGGCCATACTTTCCAACTGCTGACCCTTCCTCTCTTGTTTCCAACTCTGGCATCCGATCACCAGTAATTATCATTGCATCTTGATTGCATGTTTGATCAATTTCATACTTAAGAAGTTGATAGAATTCTTCAATTTCATCATCATTGACTTTAGTGATTGCTGTGTAAATTTGAATTGTATTTTTCTTAATTGCTCTTTTTTGAAGGTGTATGGATATTATCTTATCATAGACAACATTGTACTTTAAGATAAAGATTGAAGTACTCTTTTTGTCAATGAAAGCAACCCCTTCCTCTTCACTTTGTCATTCATATTGCATACGTTTCACATTCTGATTATTAATGTTATGTTTCCAGCTGTTTCTTTCCATTTTGTGTTGTACCTCATCAACAAATGAAGATCCTGAAATCTTTGCTCCATCCATATCATTAAGTTTATCTCTACTGTGAGGAGAAAGCTCTTCCCCAGTTCTGTTTTGTCTTCCAACCCAGCGGACTCATCTTCTGGCATACTATCAAACAATGTTCCACTGCTGTTCATAAGGTTTTCAGTGGCTAGCCATTCAGAAGTGGTCCGCTTCTTTTTCTTTTTAGTCTTTCTTAGTTTGGAAGCTTTATTGAAACCTGTCCACCATGGGTAACCCTGCTGATATTTAAAATACCAGTCACATAGTTTCCAGTATCACAGCAACACACAAGCACCAGAGTATGATAAAATGACACATGAGTGGTGGCGTTGTTCACTTTGGATACTTCTGAGTTGTGTTCTGAGTGATGTTGTCATGTAAATCTCAGGTTGCTGTTCATTGTGTTTTTGTTTCCTGAAAACTCCCTTTAGTATTTTTTTGGTAAGGTTGGTCTGCGTTTTACAGATCCTTTAAATTTCTGTTTATCTGGAAATATCTAAATTTCACCATTATATTTGAGGGACAGTTTTCTATGTATATGAATCTTGATTAATAATTCTTTTTTTCTTTGAGAGTTTTATATACGTCATCCCGTTTTCTGGGTGGTTTCTGCTGAGAAATTAGCATTTAGTTTTAATTTTTCTC